CCCCAAAACCCCAAAACCCCAAAACCCCAAAACCCCAAAACCCCAAAACCCCTTAGGAAGGCAAACTATTTGAACCAATTACTCACGGTATTTAGAGCGCTTAGAAGGTCTATAACCCAGGTCATCTGGTGTGGCAATGCTTCCGTGATGCTCCGTATGCTTCTTTCTTTGGTACTCAGAGCTGACACCTTTTCCACTACCAACAACACCGACCTTTCCATCGAATGTATCAGGAGTCTTGAAGATAGAGTTCTTACTCTTAGTAGCTTGGTAGTGACCTCTCTTATTTCTAGAAGCTTTATGCTGAAAGTTTAGCCAAGTCTCTTGCTTCTCTCTGTTGTTATTTATCTATAATCTTTCTCTTATGGTTCTGCTTGAGAGCCTTAACTTTCTTTCTTTTAGCTAATCTTTGTTCAGTAGTATCTGTAGGCTTTAATTTAAGCTTTTCAGGGGCTACAAAGTTCTCAAGACCTTCTTTTTCCTTCTCTCTATTCTTTTTAGCATCTTCAGGCTTCAGCCTGATATATTCGAGAGGGACTGTCTCTCTATTGGCAAATTTCTTAAATCTCACCACATAAAATTCACCTAGTTTCTTTTCAATAATGCATGGATACCAGCATCCGTCTTTCTCATAGAGTGATTCTCAGAAATATCCTTCTTCCAGCTGTGAAGCTTCAGGATGCTTAGCGATTTTAATAAATTTAGCGGGGACATTTGTTTTCTCAGTATACCCTAACCAGTCAATTTCAGCTGTTTGGGTTTCTAGATTAACATTAGTTATGGTACCTGCGAACCACTTTTGTTCGCTGTCGAAAAATGCCTCACATACCTTTCCTTTATCCTTCTCTGTGAGGGTTCTCATCGATATCTTGATCTTACCCTGATCAGACTCTTTTAGCTTGATCAGGTCAGTGGAATAAGCTATAGCATCAGTAATCTGTTTCTTCAGCGTCTGGATCTCAGCGTATTCTTCAGATTTCACATCTTTCACCGTTTTAAGCAATTCGTTAATATCCTCCAACTGGTTTTGATAATCAGCAATTTCTTTCTTAAGCTCATCAGCTGTCTGCTCTTTAGCTGAGGGGTTCTTGGCCTCTTCTTCTCTTTCTTCAGGTTTCTTGAAGTCTTCTTCATCATAGATGCCGCCACCATTTTCGTTTTCATCCATTTCGGAGCCACTACTATTAGAGTTATCCATTTTTTAATTAATTATAATAGATCTATTTCTAAAAATTGTCTTGGGGTTTTGGGGTTTTGGGGTTTTGGGGTTTTGGGGTTTTGGGG